ATAAAGAACATATCTTATTCTATATTATATAAAAATTTGATAAAAATTAATTACAATAGTAAAAAGTTTTATTAGTAGCAAAGCTTTATTTTTTATAAAAATTATATTATACCATAAAGATTATATAAAAAATGATCTAGATATACTCTACCTTTAAATAAATATAAATAATAATAATTTTATTAAAATGTAAAAGTAAGAGATATGGTGACCTAATGAAGTGATCAAGTTGTCAACCCTCCAAGTGGTAGGTTGGGTATTCAAATCTCATCGATAGTAAAAATTTGAATAATCACTTATGTAATATTCGTATTATAGCAACTATTACTAACAATTAGGTTAAGATATCTGTAATGATAGTCATATCAGCATGACTGGCAAATCATAGAGCATTTGTGCAATATTAAAGTTATACAAAAGAATGCAAACCAACAAATTAGGTGATGCAAACACTAGATAAGTCCTTGTGGTCATGTAAATCTATTGAAATTGGATAACAAGAAGTCCATTTGGAAAGACCTGAGTAGAGAGGTAGCTGGATCTTCAATGACCCTACTGTAAAGGCTAGCTTGGTAAAATAGATACCAAGGTCTAGTACCCAATTGTAGTAGCCAAACAGACAAGAACCTCTGGGTTGAGAGTCTCAGAGGTACCACCAATCAGACTGCTAGAACAAATCAAAAAAAAAGAATATCAGGCTGATCTGATATACTGATGAACTGGTCATAGTTCTATATAAGCTATTTGGATTGGGAGTTTGGTAAAAAAGTAGGAAAAAAGGCAGAATATACTAAAATACTGGGGTTATGCTGTGAAATAGATACTAGAATCTAAATAAATTCTATAAGGGCATAGCAGTTTAATGATTAGCCTTGATTGCAAGTGTTAGTTTTGCTATAGTGATACCTAAGTCAGCTGTAAAAATATATACAGAAAGCTCTGAGAAGTTGATCTCGAGGATAAATTAATCCTAAGGTTGAGATGATGATCTGGACATCTGAGTATGACCTAGTGAGTTAACACAAATTACAGATTCAGAGAGTTTAAAGTAGAACATCCAAACAAAGATGTGAGGTATAGCAATTGGTAAAGAACCTTCAGGCGAACTCCTTAAATAGGTAATATAAAAAAGTTATATATATAGCCAATTGTACTCTTTTTTGTAGTAGTTTATTGAACCACAATACTGATAAGTGATTAATAAAAGTTAAAAGACCAAAGAGGTCATCTTAATATCAAAAAAAATAAAAAATAAAAAGTAAAAGTTTGTTGTATTAAAAAATTAGATATAAGTAAATTTATATTGTTTTTAGAATAAAAATTGTAAAGAAAAAGTTTAATTAGAAGGTTAAAAACTATTAGTTTAATAACATATCAAGAAAAGTTGAATTGTTTGTTAGAGAAAAATTAGTTTTAGTGATTTACAGAAAGAGTTAGGTAATTGACATCTAAAATCTATATTTATTGAATTATTATAAAAATTTTTTACATATATTTTTATTGGCTATTTTTTACTTAATATTTTTGTAATTATCTGTTTATTTAATTTGCTGTTAAGATAATTTTGAGTATTATTTTCTAAATTTTTTAGTTTATTTAATATATAGATAAAGATTCATTACAAAAAGAAACAATTGTACGCTTTCTATAAATGCATTTTGCATTTCAGTTCTAACCAGTGTTGTTATGTTTACTATGTCCAAGACTTTTTAAATCATGTCCAATGTTCAAACATCCACATGTTCAAGAATGTTCATAGCATATACAAGCTTCAAAAATTAATATATTAATTTAAAAAAATCTATTTTTTATAATGCTGAATATTTTTATTTAGAAAGCTAAAATAGATTAACTTAATAAAATTTTGAGTAATTTTAATAATTTATTTATTTGCCCACAAACGTCCCGTGCCAATACTGGTCCTAACCACTAATAGCACTCATAACACATCTTTTAAATGCGCACCTATTACAAAGGAGACAGGTTTAAACCGTCCAATCAAACTTCAAGGAATTTTTTGATGGTCACGTTACATATTATAAACCTGATATTGAATATTGATTGGATAATTCATAATAACATTGCACTTACATACATACCGTTCTTTGAACACTCTTAAATTGGTACTAACAAAACATTCTTATAAGTCAATTTTCTTATATCGAGGATTTTTATATCGAGTATCTCTTATATAATGAATTTAGATAAAGAAAGAACCGCTAATTCTGCCAAGGGTTTTGGAAGTTTAATGGTCGATGATGGTGGAAAAGGTAACAATTATCTTTTTGTTGCTTTAACTTATTACTTGTATCAATTATACTAAATCTTTATCGGATCCATTATAAAGAATCCATTGCAAAATTAATAGCAGATGTGAAAGATGAGGATGCCTTAAAATTAGCTCAAGCCACACAGAAACATGTAAACCAAAAACGTAATAGTTTCAATAGTGTAGAAGCAGTGGGTCAAAAATCTCTTACGCGCACCGATGGTAATTTTACCTATATAGATATGTGCTTATTGCTTTGAGTATGTTAAAAATATTAATCTTTTTTTAGCGCCTCAGGATCACGCTTTTTCTCCATCTGAGACTACTTTGTCCAATTCTAGTAGTTGCAAACAAAGCCTCGAAAACAAATATCATGTAATATTCAAGATCATTAATAATAAAGATGTATATAATCCTCTTCTGGTTGTTAAAAATCGAAAAGTTGACGTTAAGAATGAGGGAATAAATGACATTAGCTCAATACCTGCTAATAAAATTAAACAATCGATAAGTAAAAGAAAAATAAGTGGTTCTGAATCCCACCAAAAAACTCCAAATCCATGGCACGTTACTCATATGGAAATTCTAAAGGATTATGAACAAAGAAATAATATTAGTGATATTTCCACTCCTTTTAAGAACTCAGAGTTACAAGGTGTTGATAATGAAAATAATGATTCTAGAAATGCCCTATCTCGCGTAGGATCTGAACCTAGTGCGTCCAAGAGAAATTTACCTTATCGTAGATTATCTCAAATTTTTATTCCTCCATCGCAAGTGAAAGAAGAGCCAAGTCCTCCAGCAGAGGAAGGGCGTCGTGGTGGAAAACATTCAAGAACTTTAAGCCTAAATGGCATGCCTTCACCTTTAACTAAGGATGATCATCAAAGCAAATCTAAAAAGGGTTTATTAAGTTTATTTAAGCGTAAAGATAGGAAACATAATAAGCGAGGTCGGTCTGATACCGAGATTGATGATAATGGAGATGGTCAGGTTAGAACAATCAAGGAATTAGCTGATCACACACCATCATCTCCGAAAATTATTTTGTCTTCGGGTGATCAGTCTCCTAGAAGTTCTTCTGAAGATGTGGGACCTTTGTCTGAAAAAGATTTTTTAAGCGTCTCAAATAATATGAATATATATAATTCTGAGATAATGTATAATGACTCGGTAGAACATGGTGTTAAATATGACAATGATATGCTTGGAAAGCCAAATCGTGATACTTTGATTGTACTTTCTGATGACGCTTCTATGTATATCGCTTCTAGCAATGGTTCTTCGGCAAGGCATTCTATGGAATTCGACTCGATTAAAGTATGCTTAGTACTATCATTTTTATTATCAATTTAACTGAATAAGTTCAACATAAGGTACCTTTTTTTTTTGAAAAGAATACCTCAATGGAACCTTATTTATCTTCGGAATCAAAGCAGTCTATAGCCGAAATTTTACATGTTGAAGAACATCGTAAAAAAGTCGATACTGATGAAAATGTAAATAATAATAATAATAATAAAATTATGGACAATAGTTCTGAATCTGAAGGTTATTATAAATATAATTCATATGAGCAATCATATTTTTAATGTGAACATAACAAAATTTATCTGATATTAGAGGATGACGATGAACCAGAAGATTATGTTGACGAAACAGTTAGTGTCGATCTTGAAGTTCTTCCACAAAGTTTAAGAGAACTATATCAAAAAGATAATAGTCGATATGGTATGTGTGTCCCATTTACTAAAAGAAATTTTTTTATCGCTTTAAGTTACTCATTACAGTTATTTTCCAGTGGAATTGAATATCAGATCAAATGATGATTTCAAATTTAATAAATTTGTTCGTCGTAAAAGTAGGACTGAATTCGAATTAGATAACACTTTATATGACCTTCGGATATCTCTTGTTGGAGATGCATCTCATACTCAGAGGAGGTATATACTTGATTATTATATTTTATATACTGTTAAATCGGTGACAGATCCACCATGATTTTTGAACTTTAGAATTAATCAGCAAGAAACATCTGTGTTGATTGCGCGATGTGATGAGTATATTGAAGAAGCAACAAAATTGTTAGAGAGACACAAGGTATTTAATATCCGTTATTCATGTGCATGTTAATAATACGAATCATATTTATATCAAATATCATCTTTCAAAGGAAATTATGTCAGATAGAAATGAAATTATCGTAAAAAATAATTATCGTTCATCGTCACAAAGCCAAGACCCTTTAAATACTGAAGGATATCACACACCCATAGCGAGGGTGTATGAATTGAAAAAGAATATTGACGAGAAAACAAAATCCTTGAATAGTTCACTAGTCAATATTGAAAATACAGTCAATCAATTAAAGACTCAACATGATAGGTATCGTTTCTAGACTTTATACTTTGGGCTTTATTATAGGAATAACGATGATTCATTTTCTATATTGATTTAAATAGTATTTCTGAAGAAATGAAAACGATGTTTGAGAAATTTGAAGGGATGACACTTGCTGTGAATCATGATTACTTTCATGAGGTTTGTAATAAACTACTATTTCGCATATATGTTTTTCTAATTTTTAATTATTGTATTATTAACTCTAATAAATTGTTAGCTAAAAATTCTTGAAGATAATATTCACGTTTTAGTTTCAGAAAGTGGAAAATCTCCTTGGTTAGATATATTTTACTTAATGATGTCTTATGTGCTTGCTGGTAACTATAATTATTTATGCTACAAATATTTAATAATAAATTTATGCTAATTCTCTTTTTTTTTGATTTTTTTTACTCAATAAGGAATAATGTTTATATTTTGGTTTATTGTAGCCTGCTTTAAATTAGGTAGAAGAATATTGTCTTTTTCAAGAACATTATGGGGATCCGTAAATTTATAATATTGACCGACGTAATATAATGTAAAATTTTAATAATTAGACTTAAGTGGTTATTTGTAAATTTTTTATAATATAATGGCGTAATTGTTTAAACATTCTAAAAAAACAATTACCTCAAATTTACTATTCATACCTTTTTGCAGATTTAACCTTTTTTAAAACTTTAAGATATCTTAGTAACTACTAAGTAGCATTTAGTAAACCTTTTCTTTAAATTCTATAGATTTATAGAATTCAAATAAAAAAAAAGCCCATCGAATTTGGCCTAGTAGTTGTTGAGATATCTTTGCTTAAAGTTTTTTAAAAAAAATCAATATTTATTAATACAAATTTTTTTAAACTTTGAACAAATATGTCTTAACAACTGTTAAGTTAAATTTGATGAGTTTTTTTTATTTGAATTTTATGAATTTATAGAATTTTTTAAAAAAAAGTTTATCAAATTTAATTTGATGAAGTAATATATTTGTAGTTATGGTTACTGTAGCATATGCTATAAAAGTTAATCAATTTTAAAAATCAAATGTAACATAATATGATCAAGAAAATTCAAAATAAATATTCATTTTTATTAAAAATTATTAAAAATCATTTATAACTCAAAATTAAGTATATAAAACTACTTATTGGGTTTTAACAAAAAAATTTTTTGTAAAATTTTACTATAAAATATTTACTTTTACCTGTATACTATCTTTATCTTAATTTAACTTTAATAAACAAATAATATGCTTATTTTAGTTACAGTTACAGTAGCCTATGATTACAAATATATTAATTCTAATTTAATAATTATTAAGTTATTTTTATTTAAAAATTAAAAAAAATTTAAATTATTTATTAAAGCAAATTGTATTAATTTTTTTTTGAACTTTAAATGAAAGATTAATATTTGTAGTTATAAAATTACTGCAGTTATAATTAAAATAATTATTTCTTTGTTTATTAGAGTTATAGTAAAGTAAAAATATTATAAATAAAAGAAAATAATTAAGAGTAAAATTTAGTAAAATATTTTTTTTATTAGAATCCCAAATAATTTTATATATAATGAATAAAAAAAAATCTGCAAATTATCCTATTTAATAAGTGAAATAATTTACAGGTATTCTTTTTTTATCATTTATATTTAATTTTGAATTATAGATAATTTTTAATAATTTTTAATAAAATACATATTTGTTTTAAATTTTTCTAATTGTATTACATTATATCTAATTTTTAAAATTGATTAATAAGAGGTGTGGCACCTAGTGAAGTGGTCAGGTTGTCAACCTTCCAAGTGGTAGGTTGGGTGTTCAAATCCCATCGATGGCAAAAATTTG